AGGCTGGTGTGCTTCTTCCATATGGGCTTTGTTGCTTCTGAGCTAGATGGCCACTTGTTTACCTTCAAGCCTTTAAGATCCCAGACGCTATATCTTTTGATAGCCAGGCACCCTGAGCTTTCTTCACATTTGCTTATGCACCCATTTGTCTTCAGTGAAGAAACCATTTTTCAAAGCCCCTGAGCGAACTATTCCGAAGCACCATTTTTGGCTGGTGAGAAATCTGAGTGGAAAGTCGGGCTCTGAGCTGGCATCGTGTCTGAGGAGTCATTTGGGAGCGCAGGGATGGGGAGCAGGCAAGGCAATCACATGCAAAAAAAGAAGAGATGTCCACTATGCCCATCTAAGCACGTCAGGTCCTCAGGTTAAGTGGAAGCACTGGCCGTTTAGTTGAACACACTATAGAAGCAGCATCCTGTTCGCAGTTAACTGAAATGCCTGCAAGGCCCGGGGAGGTCAGCCCCGCGCAGCAGCCTGGGACTACTGTCTACTATCACGTCCAGGTGTTACGAATGGGGTCTTATGTTTTCACTAGCTCCCCAATTTAAGAATACGAAGAGTCCCAAGGTAAACCCCAAGAGAAAGTAAATCTCTTCTAAGAATTATGTAGGAAATCATGATTAAGACATTTTCCCTCCTGTAAGTCTGTTTTAAAAACATGCTTGGTATTTTCCCTACACTCATTTCAAGGATTAAGCACCAGACTGCCAATGGGAAGGTAATGGTTCAAACCCAAGAGCCCCTTGGTGGGTGACAAATGAGGCTGTCTGCTTCTATAGGTATAGTCTCAGGAACTGGACGAGGCAGCTCTACTGTGTCCTCTAGGGGCACTGAGAACCGCTTCGACCTGAGGGCAATAGGTTATTCGTGCTCTGAGCATTAGTGGAAGAGGCCAAGGTTCAGGGTGGGCCTCAGCAGCGTGAGCAGGACCTTGGCCTGTCCTGGACCCGCCTTCCATAACAAACAAGAGCCCTGGAAATCCTATGGGGGAGTTCTACCCTCTCCTATAGGGTCATAAGGAGGAAGTCAGTGTGTGCATGGGGGAGTGAGTGCATCAATGAGTGGGTGGGTGGGTGAATGAGGGGGTCAAGTGAACAGGCGGGTGGTAAGCAGTGAATAGGTTGGTTAATGAGTGAACGAGTGGTAGTGAGGGAGTGAAGGAGGGGTGAGTGGACTTGTTGACTGGGTGGTTGATGAGTGACTGAGGGAGAGAGTGTGGGTGAATGAAAGGGTGCGTGAGTGAGCGGGTGAAAGGAGGGTAAGCAGAGGCACCGATGAGCGAGAACAGAGGCCCAGAGGCAGGCCCAGGACCTCGTGGCTCTCAGGACAGGAGCTGTCACAGTCTCCTTCCGGAAAGAGCTCGCTGGTGCCTCTTTTTAGGCAGAAAAAAGCACAGCTTCCTTTTTGCATTTAACAACATCCATTCTTTGCAGACATAAAATAAAAATACCCAAGCCACACTGAATATTATGTTTTCGCTTTCACAAAAGATTATACAATTTTCCTTAGCCGACTGAGAAAGGCTCTACACAAGTGGAAAGTGCCTGCCATCCACCACCCATGCATAAGCCCTCCTTAGAAGCATGTGTTCCGCCAAGAGCTGCTGCTGTGCTGAGGCTTTATTACCCTTTCCAGGACATTTACAGAGACGTGCAAGTCACAGCTTAGAATTTGGGGTGAAGTATTCTGAAAACCTGACTATCTCTTCTCTCCCTTTTATGCTCTCTTTTCCGATCAGAGCAAGTAACAGCCTGGTGTAGTGCCTTTCCTGCGGTTTGCCATCAGGGAGGGGGTTGGGGGGGTGAGCAAGCAGGTGGACAGTGGGTTGCCATCAAGGCCATCCTGTAGGACAGCACGGAGCTGCACAAGGAAGCTGTCATCTTCACAGGAGCAGAGCCACGCCTGGTCTCCTGCGGAGGGAGTGAGGGGCTCGAACCACCGACCTGCTGGTGAGCAGCCAAATGTATTAACCACTGTGCCGGCAGGACCCCTTCCTTTACAACAAAATGACGGTGCTCACATGGAAACACGCAGCTGAAACGAGCCAGGCAGGGCCGAGCCACTGCTCTTAACCCCCGGATGCCTTCGGCCTTCTCCATTCTTCCATGAAAATAGTACAGATACTTAAGTATTTACTTCAATACAGACTTAGTCAAATCCGACGGAAACAGTTCAAAGAAGCTCACTATTAATAACAGTTGTTCATGTGGGGTCTACAGTCACCTGCCAATATGACCAAATCCTAAGCAGGAAGTTTCCAAACACCTTTGAGAGTGAACATCACTGTCGTACCGCTGACCGTCCGCGTGTTATCAGAGTTGCAAAGTCTACTGCCAACCTGCTGGGGGGAAGGTGGGCACTTTGTTCTTACTTTGGCATGGAAGCCCCCTTGGGGAGTGATGAGCTGTGGACGGGAAGCCCCACACTGGGGCAGAGGCCATCGCTCTGAGGAAACAATGGCCAAGTAAGTCCTTGTACCTGCAACAACAGAGAGGAGGGCTCACTGCTCAGGGGGAGCTCTAAGCAGTCCTGAACAGGGCATCTGGGCAACTGCTGCGTGAACCAGCAGGAACCAGCAGAGGCTGGAGTAACCTGTCAAGCAGCCAGATTTATCTTTCTCCTGGGGAGCGGCTGGGAGGCATGAACTGCTGATCAAAAGTACTTTGAACCAATGGGCCGCCTGGGCTCCTCACGTGTTAACTACAAGTTTGTCTTTTAAATCAGTGAATAAACATCTAGCAAATGAATACAAACTACTTCACCAAGAGAGAGCTCAGCTTTATCTTGGCACAGGGGAGTCC